GGGATTGAACCGCGGTCCCTGTGTTTTGCTTAGCTTAGCTTGTTCTAAGTAGGTGCTTTAGACCACTGAGCCATCTCACTAGCCACGCTAACATAATTCTAAATGGGTAAAAACTGAAATCTTTTATTCTCAGATCTTGTACAAAACAAACATGTCCTCTATCACACCTACTATTCAATATAGCTTGGGAATCATTAGCTAGAGCCATTAGACAAGAGGGAGAAATAAAAGGAATAAGAATAGGTAAAGAAGAACTTAAACTAAATTTTACTTGGAAGACCCAAAAAACTCCACCAAGAAACTACTAGAATTAATACACAAATTCAGTAGCATAGCAGGGTACAAAGTCAATAGCATTCCTCTACACAGATAACAAACACACTAAGAGGGAAATTAGAGAAATAATACCTTTTACAATAGCACTGCAGAAAATGAAACACTTTGGAATTAATCTAACAGAAGAAGTAAAAGATCTATTCAACAAAAATTACAGGACTCTAATTAAAGAGATCATAGAGCATTTCAGAAAATGCAAAGATATTCCCTGCTCCTGGATAGAAAGAACCAACATTGTGAAGATGGCCATACTCCCAAAATTATTATACAGATTTAATGCAATCCCTATCAAAATACCACCTATACATGAACCTAAAGAAATCATTCCTAAAATTTATTTGGTGGGCCGGGGAGATAGCTCAGTGGAATAAGCACTTGCCTGGCAAGCAAAAGGACCTGAGTTCAATCCCTGATTCTGCCAAAAAAAAAAAAAAAAAAAAATTATTTGGTACCAGAGAAGACCTAGAATAGCAAAGGCAATCCTGGCCAACAAAGACAAGACAGGAGGCATTACAATTCCTCCTTTGAAATTATACTACAAAGCTACTATGATAAAATCAGCATGGTATGGGCAAAAAAAAAAAAAAAAGACCTGAGGATCAATGGAAAAGATTAGAAGATGCAGAAGCAACTATAAACACACTCAGCCACCTTATCTTTGACAAAGGGACCAAACATGCTTACTGGAAGAAAGATAGCCTCTTTACCAAATGGTGCTGGAAAAACAGGCTCTCCACAGGCTGAAAACTACAAATGGACCCAGGTCTATTACCATGCAGTAAACTAAAATCAAAATGGATTAAAGATCTAAGAATTAATACAGAAGCACTGAATCTCCTGGAAAAGAAAGTAGGAGGAAGTCTTGAAGACATAGTGGTAGGCAAATAGTTCAGGAACAAAAATCAAACTGCACAGGTAATACTTGAAAGAAATAACAACTGGCACCTCCTCTTATTGAGAAGTTTTTGCACATCAAAGAAGTTACCAACAGAGGGAAAAGACAACCCACAAATTTGGAAAAAAAAAATCTTAACTAATAAGCACTCAGACAAAGTTCTGCTTTCTAGAATCTATAAAGAACTAAAAAACACTAAGGCCCCAAAATTTAAAGACCCAATCCAGAAATGGGCATTCGAGATGAACATACACTTCTCAAAGAGGAAGAAATTCTAAAAGCTAATAAATACATGAAAAAAATGCTCCACATCACTAACTATCCATGAAAGGCAAATTAAAACAACACTGAGATACCATCTCACCCCAGAAAGAATGGCTATCATAAAAAAAAATTAACCAACAACAAATGTTGGAGAGGCTGTGGAGGAAAAGAAACCCTTGAGAATGTAGAATGGTGTAACCATTATGGAAATCAGTGTGGAGACTCCTTAAAAAACTAGAGGGCCAGCTAGATAGCTCTGCAGATTAAAACACTTGCTGAAGCTGACTCCGAGACCGGGGTTTGATCCCCAGTGTGCCATGCCAGCCTGGCCTGGGGTGCACTGAGTAGGCAACTGAGACTGGGTCTGTGGCATATGCCTATAATCCCAATGCTTGGGAGGCAGAAAACAGGAGGATCACTACGAGTCTGATCTGTGTAGTGAGACCCTCTAGAGCTTGTAATAAATATACTAAAAAAAAAAGACAACTGAAAGGGATATACAGCCTGGTGCTAAAATCAACCTCAAACAGAATTTTAGATCAAACAAAACATAGACATAGGTCTTTACAACACAGCAAAGCCCACAGGGCTGCCAGTGACACTGCCATGTGCATGCCAAGCAAGAGTTGCCCTACTGGGAAGGCTCCAAGAAACAGACTGACTGCAAACGTGCATGGAGCTGCACAGGACATATTTGGGACACAAGGCCTCATGCTTCATTTGCCTTCCTCCACACAGAGAATGCCGTAGCCTGGCAGCAAATATCACCAGCACACACAGGAGCAAAGGTCATATTTAGAACCTTTGCATGAGAAAATGAGAAAGACCAAATCATGATCCATCAAGACCTATTAGTTCATGCCTTCACCCTCTAGCTGGGGAAGCACAAAGGGAACTGGGTAGGAAAAGTAAAGCCCTAGAGGAGTTAGCCACATGAAGCCTAGGATGAAGGCAAAAGGAGAACAAAATGCACAACACTCCAACTCTCCAAATCCTTAAAAGGCATTTGTAGTCTATAGACCAAAGCTATTGCTCTGAGAGAATGCTACCAACCCAGGAAACAATCCTTGTCTAGTCCGGCTTGGAATATAAAAGTCCTTAAATTCTTTTTAAAAAAATTTTACCTCTTGTGTCAGTCTCCCCAAGGATGGGAAGTCCTTAAACTCATGGACACAGAAGATGTTTCTTTCTTCTGAACCCTTAGAAGAAGGACCTGAAGGAATTACTTCTCCTGCAGGTTAGAATTGTAGGAACATAAGCAAGTTGCAGAAGATATACCTTTGTGACTTTTTTTCAGGAATGCCAACTACTGTACTGACAAACACCTGCCTGCAGGGCTGTGGAAGGCAAGAGACATGTTCTGCTCTCAGGGCTGCTGCTCCCCATCATCTAGGAAGGTAGCCCTGACAGCTGTTTCCAGGAGAGCACACTAGTGTTGTCCTGGCTGCATCCCATGGCATGCTAAACGCCCTGCTGCCCTGCTGGCACACTCTTCCTTCCCTTGTTCTTTTTCACCAAATGAGTGCTCTTAGCTTTGTGTTCAAACTAAGTGCTGCCGAATCAGTCCTTTGCCCCCCAGGAAGGCATGGGAGCTGAGGTCCTGGGCCAGTGAGGAACACAGGAGCTCTCAACCCTGGTTTCAATGAGAGCACCTACTCAACATGTGCGTCACATGTTCAACTTGTATTAGGAATTAATGGTAGATGAGAAAAGAAATGAAAATGACAGAACAGCCATAAGCTTCCTTCCTGGTCTGAAGCCACATGAGAACACAGACGCGACTGTGCTGAAGACGCGCTGACACTTTATTTGTGTAATCGGGGAAGGAGGCACCACAGAACCTTGAGGCTCTGCATCTCTAGCACAAGTGGTGTCCTGTGTTCCCGAGTAGTCCATCTTCACTCCCAGGACAAGAAGTATACGTGGCCCTGTGTGTCTCCCACGGCGAGCTGCAGGATCGAGTCAGGTCCCAGCCACGGGTCCAGGCAGCTCACTGCCCCTTCACATCGGAACAGGCCCAGCTGAAAGGGAACACAAATGGGGGGGTGAGGGCCAGCTACCCGCCCAGGGTCTCCTTAGTTACATTTTTTTCTCTCATGAATGAATGACTTTATTTAGAAGCAGGGATATTACTGCAAAAGGAATTGAAGAAAATGGAATTTGACCTTGTGCCTGTTCTTACCCAAACAAGTTCTCTGGTAACATCCCCTTAGCCCCTTCTTGTAAGAGTGCATGTCCACACACGAACACACATGCCCACATGCACACCCATGTGCACACACTCACACACTTACCAGTTGCATACTGGGCCTTGACCACAGCTTCACATCTCTATCCTTCGAGCCTGTCACCAGCATCTCAGGAAGCACATGGAGGGCTGTGACAGAGTTCAAGTGAATCTGAAAGGAGGAGGAGGAGGAGGAGGAGGAGGAGATGTCATGCTGAGTGCTCCATAAAGGAAGCACTGAGGTCACTGTGTCAGCTTACAGCCTCCTCCCCTACGTTTGTGACCCTTCCTTCAAACTCACCTTTCTACGCTGCTGCACCTTTAACTTGTCTGCCCTGCCACATGCTGTGTCTGTCCCTGAAGCCTGGGCTTCAGGTGCTTTCACTTCTGTCTGCCAGATGTTGCCCGTGCTCCATTCTCCTCCGTGGGTGCATCCAGCCA